GGTGTCAGCAAGTTGCTTGGTCCATAAAGCCAATAGCACCATAGACGAGGCTTACTGGGAGGATAAAAGATGCCAAAAATCAGCACGGTAGGATGAGACAACCTGAGTATTGTTTTAAAAAGACCTCGTTGAAGCCCCTTGTCCTTCTAGTCGTAATCTTGTAGGCCTGAGATCCATTAATAAAAAGTACCTAGAATGATGTTCGACAGTCCGAGATTGGACCTTTAACTGTTCTGGACCCAAAAACACACCATTAGACATTTACTATTTTTCTGTTTCTGACTCTGTTATTATCTTATTTGCCGTTTATGCTTTCTATCTTTATTTGTACAATTCCTTTTTCTCTGTCTTTAGAGAACTCTTGCCCCATTTTTTTCTTAGCTGGGGTCAGACTCACAAGAATTCTGTACAGTTTCATTTAGCTGTATTCCATCATTATTTTTCACAACTGGGCTAAATTGTCTGTCCTCAGTCTGGCATCCTGCAATAATCACAGATTTATTTCATTTTCTTCACAATGGGATGATTTTCCGTTAATATTCAGACATTTTTGGGCAGTTTGAGTCATTTTGCAGAAAACGTGGTCCATTTCATCTTTGGTATTTGATTGAAATCATGTAAGAACAGGTGTTTATGTGTCGATAAGATTTTTGGAGTAGACTCCCGGAGAAGCTGTGTGAAAGCAGGAGAGAGGCAGAGGAAAGGTGAGCTGTGTCCTGAAGCAGGGCTATAAATTGCCTCCCTTGTCGAACCCAAAGGGCAAAGCTTCATTCCTCCAACAGTTTATCTCCTCTGTCCTTCCCTCCGTCTTTACATCCGTCCATGCATACGTACATCCTTTCTGTGTTAATGGAGGGAGTGTTTTTTGTAATCGACCATAACCGTAATGAATCACCTGGGCCTTCCTTGGGTGTAGCTGTGGTTTCCATCAGCAGGTCTTCTGACATTAAAACACTTCTTTTTGCCCTATCTGCAGTCTGCAGGGCTTCCTCCCTCCTCCCTCATTGTTCTCCTCCTTTCTTTCTTTTCCTCCTCCTCTTGCTCCCTCCACCGCTCTCCTCATTGCGCCTCCTCCTCACGTCCCTCCGCCCTCCACATTAATCACATGGCAGGGAGAATAAAGCAGAGCATCTGTAATAGTTTAGCAGCGTCACTGAAGGACGGGCAGAGGTCGGCTAGCATCGCGGCTAATGTGTAGACACCCGGGGTTGTGTGTGTGTGTGTGTGTGTGTGTGTGTGTGTGTGTGCGTGTGTGTGTGTGTGTGTTCATGTATTAACAGTAATAGATGGCTTGGTGTGGATGCAAGGACAGAACGGGGACATGAGGCGCTAAAAATGGATCGCTACCCGGTGGTCTAACACACACACACACACACACACCTATATGCACATATCTATAGATACACACGGTGGCATACGTGTGCGCACACACATGCATCTGAATGCTACACATGCCAGCAGACACACACAAACACACACAGGTACGACATGTCCCTCGTGGGGCTGCTTGTGCGTCATTTGATCTGATTTTTAAGGGCATCTTTATCATCTTTTCTGTCATTTTATTGATGGATATTTGCAAATTTTGGCTCACTGACTATTTATTTTGCCCACTGCTGGGAACTAGAGGCAGGTCCAACAGAAGAGTTGGGCTGGCTCTCTCTATTTTTTTTTTACTGGCGGGTTGATTTGTTGTCGCTGCAGAGGTTGTGCGTCACTTAAGTTCTCCTGCTGCCAACACTTTCTCCTGAGTTAGGCTGTGCTCCGGCGTGTTTTCTGATCACAAAATGCTCTTTTTTTTTTTTTTTCCTTCGCCTAAAATGCACTGGAAAGATTCCCCCGCTGATCGGCTGCCACACAGCCTCCCACGGCGGCCTAGAGGGGAACACAACTCGCATTCATGCATGAATTTCCATCAGACGCCTTTCATCAAAAAAAAATGTTCAAATCCAAACAAAGGGGACTCCTAATCATCGTAGAGCTTTTTGTCTGCTCGTTTTTTATTTCACGGGTGTTGTTTTAACTTTGAAGGGCACTTTGTTGTAGTTTAGTTTCCACACACACACACACACACACACACACACACACACCCTCAGTGTCTCTCGGCCCATGTCAATGTTTGTGTTGGAGTCTCTGAACCAGATAAGGAAGTCATTGTGTCTCCTGTAATGAAAAGGCAGGGTGACGGCGCTGATAGGATTTTCAATATCTCACCGTGCTCGGGTGAAAACACTGCGCGCACGCCATAACCTTGACTACAGCGCATGTCAATCAATCCAATCCATCCGAGCACCCCGACTCACCCCCTCGCTCCCAGTGACGGGTGAGATAAACACCGTCGTTGTCCAGCTTCGGCTTGCATTGATAACTTTCTACAAAGGGGAGATAGCAGAACGCAGCGCGATCAATAATGAGCTCATAATTTATGAATCCGCCGCTCATTGTGTGGAACTTGTATGTTCTCCTCGTGTGTGCACGGCGCTCCCGGGACTCTACAGAACAAACCAAGTGCAAGGTCAGCAGGCCACTTGAAGTCACCTGTGAATGGATTTTTGTCACCTGTCCGTCTGTTGAACAGCAGGAAGATAAAGATATGGAGCGTCAAAGCAAACCAGAGTTTACTATTGTTTCCATAAATAACTGATTAACCACAAGTGACCATTGGAAAACAGCTTTCTGTCTGAACAGTGAATGTGTTAATGTGGGTGCTTTTGTATTGGTGCAACGCTGTAAATGTTACACAATATAGCTGCCCTTTGGGGGACATGGACAAACACAAATATCTACATGTCTTTTAAGAATTACATGTTTCAATAATATAGTTCTGTTTTGGATTTTTTTTTTTTTGTTCTTCGGCACTGAAGAGTACACATTTCTTGCACTATATTGTTTGGTGTGTTGGGTATTTACCCCTCATACAAACAGGAGAAAGTAGAGAAATTTAACCCACTGCATCCCAAAGATAAAGATAAAGACAAAGATAAGCTTTATTGATGCCACAGTGGGGAAAGTTCACCGTTACAACAAAGTGTCCAGTCAGTGCAAGAATGCTTTAGAAACGGCCGGTGCAAATTGTAGGAAAAAGAAACAGAAACACACAAATTACAAGAGAAATGCATATACAGAACTTTATTTTATTTGTTTTTTTTTTTTTTTAAGAGCACTATATAGACAGGATGAGGTGGTAACAGTTATTGCACACAGTGGAACGGGTCTGTTGATGGAACCAGTGCAGCAGAACCAGAGGTGCCAGTGGAGTTTGTGATACAGCCCTGTAGAGTCTGACTGATGTTGGAATAAAGAACCTGCGGAAACGTTCCTTCTTACACTTTGGCTGTAACAGTGTGTCGCTGAACGCACTGCTTAAGGAGTCTGATGCAAACGGTCTCTGGCTGATTTTCTTCCTTTTTTTTTTTTTTTCACTTGCTGCTGCAATGTTTGTACTAAGCTCAGCTAAAAACGCACCTACTGGACTGATATCTGTCCGGAAATTAAATTATTCTCCTCATCTAACCTCAATTCAGGAAGACACTAAGTAAATATCAAAGTATTCCTTGAGAAATGTAATAAAGCATTGGGCTCACCTGATATTATATCAGATTTAAGGTCTTGTTCTGGCTCCATGCTGATGCAGCTCCAGTCAGACTGAAAGAGAATATGAACACAAATTCACTATAACATTTCTGGTTTATTTTGAATGGTGAAAGAAGTATTCAGGACCTTTACTTAAGTAAAAGTACTAGTACAGCAAAGTAGTAGTACTCCATTACAAGTAAAACTCTTAAGTAAAAGTACATAGGAGCCAGATGTAGTTAAATTAATACAGTTAAAGTCCTGGTTTGGTCCCTCTGACTGATGTTATTATTTTATAGATTATTAATAATGAAGCCTCAGAGTGTCTGTAGCATGCTGCTGCTGGAGGTGCTGCAGGTGGAGCTAGTTTCAAATACTTTATATCCAGTTTATATACAGGAGATCCAGATCAGTCTGCGGGCCTGTCACATGAAGAATCAGAGGAATAAAGCAAAAACTTGTAATTTAATTTCAGCTGACATATTGGATCAGTGGAAAGTCCATTAAAATTAAACCATAACAGCAATTTAGAGGGAAAAAAGAATCACTCTATGGTGGAATGTGAGCCAAACTACACGCTGCTCTTTAGACGAAGGCAAAAAGTCTTGTTTGATCTTAAACTGCAGTTTAAAAGATTGTTCTGTTTGCCGTTGCATCAAATCTTCATCCTGAAATAGTTGTCAGATAAATGTAGTGAGTAGAAAGTCTCTGAAGTGTAGCAGAGGATAAGGGTAAAAAGGAAATACTCAAGTAAAGTATAAATACCTCAAAGTTGTACTCAAGTATCGTACTTTCATTTTCTTGTTTATTTCACACGTGCATAAAGAAATGACTTCCTTCCTCACCTCCCATTTTCACGTCATGTCATCTGTGTTATTTGATTGTAATGTCTAAATCAATCTGCAATGAACTGAACTGAAGCTGCTCTGACCTCACACACACACACACACACACACGTGTTTACCTTTGGGTCACTCCATGCAAAACCAACCAGCACCCTCACAATCAAATTAGTATTTTATGTGCAATAGCTTTAGCATATTTAATGAGGTTGTGCAAAATCCGTCCTTAATGCCAGGAATAATCTTTTGAGTTACAAGCCTCTAAAAAATGCATACGGCTGAATCGAAGTTTTGTGATTTTTAATTCATTTGAGACACACCACCGTTAGAAAATGTTGTGACACAGGAGGGGTCATGATATCAAAATGTAGATAAATATTTTAAAGTTAAAAAAAAAAAAAACATCAGCTCACTGTGAGGTGGTCAGGTGGGAATTGTTTTCTCAGATTTGGTTGCTTTTATATGAAATGACCCTTTAATATATTTACATTCACACACACACACACATTTGCAAACATGCACACACCTCCAACAGTAACGTCTTTCTCTGGTTCCTAACAGCCTGAGTCTTGGCCTGTGTTGCAGGAGGATGAGACGGGTGAGGGGCGTTTCAGCTTCCCCGGCTACGGCATGGGCCCCGCCTGCCTGCAGGCCAAGGACGGCATGGCCATCAAAGGCAACAACAACAACGCTCCGGCCTCGGCCGCGCCCGAGAAGAGCATCGAGGAGATGAAGAAGTTGTTCATCAGTCGGGCCAAGCGCATTGACACGGTGTCCCGCGTGGCCTTCCCGCTCGTCTTCCTCATTTTTAACATTTTCTACTGGATCACTTACAAGATCATCCGCAGCGAGGACATCCACAAGCAGTAGTCAAGAGACGGAGGAGGAGGAGGAGGACGAGGAGGAGGAGGGCGAGAGCGGCGCGAAGAGGAAATCACAGAGAAAGAAAACGGAGAGAGATGACTTCAATTGGAGATATCATTGGCTCTTTTTTTCGTCCACGCCTCCTGCCCTCGTCTCCTTTCTTCAGCCTCTTCCTCTTTCGGTCGAGGACAAGTTGCTTTTCGTGGCAGTCAGCCTCCTCAACCTCACCCGACCCCCTACTAGATATTATTTAAGATACTCATTGCTTTGTTTTCCCTCGATTCTTCTCTCCTGCCCCGAATCCCGCGCCCTGTTCCTGTCTCTTTACACCTCCTGAATAATCCGGACCAGTGCAATAGCAATGCAGTAAAATGCATGATATATGAATGTGGCAATATATTAAAGAAAAGATGATAAATGAAAAAGTAAACACAGACTTTTGCAGGCGCAACCCAACAAACTGTGTGGGAGTGGACGGACTGGAACGAAAGGAGACGACGAGAGAGAAAGAGAGAGAGAGAGAGAGCCTTGTAAAAGATCTTGTATTTGATTTTAGTTTTTTGTGTGGAGACAGATATATAATTCTATATGAAAAAGTGATGTAGGGACGGGGTGGGGATGTGCAAGAGGCGTACAGCAGTGTAATATACTCATATATCTATCATAAGTGGGTGGAAAAAAATGTGAACTTTCCAAAGGTGGGCATCTGGAGATGAAGGATTTTTCACCAAAAAAATAAGGCAGAGAGGTGGATCGGTGCTTCCATGAAATAAAAGCGATGCAAGGATCACGCATTCTATATATCTAGATTTGCTTCAAACGTGTATTGCAAGCACTCGTCAAAGCTTTTTCCCTCCCTCCCGCTGCCGACACCACAAAACCTTGAACTGCAGAGACACTTGTTGCCGTCAATCACTCGACTGGACAAAAAGAGAAAAAAAAAGAAAACAAAAAAAAGAAATAAATACGTCAAAACACTGGACAAGCAGTGCTGAAGATTATGAGACTAAACATGTATCTGTGGTCAACATGTTCCTCTACCTGTCCTCAATTTATTTCATGTTGCATTTGTTGTTTTCTTGTTTCAAATGAACTTATGTGCCAACCGAACATGTCGCTTTGTGGCTGTGCAGCGCTCTGCAGCTCCGACCTTTTCGTCCGGAGGAAGGTGGGGTGGGCGGTTTGATGTCAGTAAAATGGCGTCTCCTCGTGTGCTTCTTCTGGGGTTTGTTTTTTTTTGTTTTTAAATTTATCAACCGGAGAAAGAGCCGCTCGATCCTGGACAGAGTAACACGCAGATCCTCGTTTGCTTTCCTCGTTGTGTGACTGAAACATCCACATGTTTACATCTTCCTGTGCTTCCTTGCTTTGACCCCGCCTTAATGTGACGCCCACGACCCCGCCCGTCCGGACCTCCAGCTGAGAGGACACATGTTGTAAATGATGTGGATTAAAACACCTGTTACACCTTAATTAACTGTATTTCCATCTCATTCACCAGTTGTAGCTGCAAACTTCGCATATAAAGCTACGTGATCATCGCCCGCAGAACAGCCGGATTTATTTGGTCGTAGCCTCGCTGATCGCTCACTAGGCTGACTCGTACTTTGACTGATTTTATTTGTTTTGTATGCCAGGCTTCTCTATGCAACGAGCAGTATATGCAATTATGATTTTTTGGCTCCTCCATCTCAAACAGGCCACTGTTTCTTTCATGCTTTCATGCTTATCTGTGAGAACAGAGAAGATAAATCTGTCCAGGCACTTTTTCGCCCACTGCATGTGTGAAAAAATGATGTTTTCTAGTAGAAATCTGCAGGATGCAGATTGAGCCAAACTGAGCCACCAGTGGAGGGAAAGTAGAGGAACTGCAGCTGGATGCAGGTGTTTTTTCTTTTTATGGTTGTTTCATGTTTTGTTTTTCTTCCTCTGTCATCTCCTCAAGTCTGATTTGTCAACTCAGAAGATCCCAAAGTGCTTCTTTATTTCACAAATGACAGAAATTTGCAGAGCGGTTACGATGTGAAAAGGGAGGTTCCCAATTCTGTAGCAGAGAAAAACTACAGTTTAAGATTTATTGTATTGTTAACGTTGCCCCGTTCATTCAGAAAGTTTTCAGCGACACACATCAAAGGAAAGGTTTAATGTCATGGGTCAGTGTTCCTGAGAGAAAGATCACTCTAATGCATTAAGTACAGAGCTGAAACTGGGAGATGATTAGCCTAGCTTAGCATTACTAGCCAAGACATTTTGTAGTTATGTTGGTGTCTTAGTTTGTGCGCTGAATAAACAAAGGGGAACAACATGCAACACGTGCAAGTGGTTGGTGCAACATGTCTTCATGCTAAGCTAAGCTAACATCCTTCTGCCTCCAGCCCATAATGTCTTTCCAAACTCTCAGAAAGAACACAAGTAGCCAAGTTTCCCAAAGTATAATGATCTCTGATCAGTGAGCCACTGTTTAACCGGTATGTGGATCCTTTTGTTTTATTTCCTGAGCAACACGAAGAGCAGAAATATGGTCGAGTACGAGTGTGTGTTAAATGTAAACCATGAAAAAAGAAAACAAACAAAAACATTTCGTTCAATATTTCCAACTTGGTTTTGAAGAAAAACCAAAGATGTGTTTTTTTTTGTTGGTCGTGTTTGACGTGGTTGTGATTCGCCTTGTTGCTGCTGAGGATGTAACGTCACGCTCGCTCGTGTTCAGTAACCTGCCGGATGCGGTTCTGGTTTCGTCTGATTTGTTTCTGAAACATAATACGTACAAAATACTTTCACATGGAAAATTTGTGCATCTTCCCCCCACGATCCTGTATTCCTTCACCTACTTGTTACCGAAAACCCCGGCCCCTTTCACCGACAGGATATTTATTGGTAATATTTATTGGCAAAACAGTTTATTTTTGTTTGTTAGTGGCAGAGAACACTGAGGCTTTTTGAATTACTCTGGTTTGATGGAGACGAGACCGTTCTTGTTTGTTTTTATTCCATCCATCGTGAACCTAAAACTACTTTTTCACGACTTTATTCCAGAGTGTGTAAGACTGATCCGAAGGGCTATGCCACACACGCACACACACACACACACACACACACGTTCTTCTGTTCACATTCCAGCATGTTTGGACAAGCGGAAGTGCCATAAAATTACACTTCCCCCCCCCCGACACCTATGCATTTCATTCAGCGAGCCATTCCCAGATACAGCGACGTAGAAGTTCTCAAGGCCACGATCACCTAGGACGCTTTGTTTTGCAGCAGATGGGTGTCTTTTGTCAAGTACGCAGGCGGCGTTCAGCGTGTGAAATGAAGGTTTGGACAAGGCAAACATTTGCAAAGTGAGATTTTCAGCGATAAATTCATCAGCCTCTTTCTGCTCACAGATTCATCTCTACAGTCAGTAGCTGCTTAACGTGAATTTAACTGCTGCGTCGTGACTTTAACCCTCAAGCAGTTTCTTTTTGTTGTTCTTGTTGTTCCGTTGTGGACTTCTTTAGAGCTCAGCAGAGTTTGGATGCTGAAGTAATTTGTCGGTAAATATACTGTTCAGTGAATACTGAGTGATTTTTCACACAGATCAACTCAACGTAGCAACATGTGAGTGAAGTCAGCGCAAAAGGTAGCACAGATGGTGTTTAGGTGGCTTGACAGGAACTGATTTAATACCTCTAGATAGCTTTTCTGTTGTTGTTTTGAACCCGAAATCCACCCGCTTTTTTGTTTCATCAAAAAGCAGCTCACAGGTAATGCTGAGCTCAGTAATAATGTTGACTGTTTAGATTACATGAGTAGCAGCAATGTAGCAAAGTGTGAGGAGAACTGGGCATTGTGCTTGGCCAGTTAACAAACAAGTTGATCTTTACCTTGCCTGATAGAAGCTGGATTGGATCTGAGCAGCGATGCAGACTGGACTGGAGTGCAGTCTTAAGTCAGAGCTCTCTTTACCGGTCGATCTGCATCTGTGTGAGGCCCCTGGGCATCGCATCAGGCGTCCTCTCTGGAAAGAAATCTGCTCAGGACCCGCTCTAGAGATTATATCTCCCAGTCGGGAGAGACGGGAGGGTTCCCAGGAGACGAGCTGGAGGGACGCGGTTTAAGGAGATAGATGGATAATAGTAATGTTGTGTGCTGCTTCCATTTTCTCTCCACCATTCCTTTGTGGTCTTACTTTAAGGCTCCCGATCCTGTTGCCCCAAAAACCAGCTCAGAGGTTCTGCTTTAACAATCTGTGCTGGTCAGTGTAGCTCAGTCTGAATTGTTTCCGTGCTTTCTTAAAGACAACTATTTAATGTAGAACGCTACAGAGCCCACAATGGAGATTCTCATACAGTCCTTGTTCAATAAATCGGCAGAAGTAAATAAAGCGTGGGCCTTGAGAGCGTCGTAAAATCCAACATTTTTGTACTTAAAGGCAGCTTTCGAAGCAGTCTGTTAAGATTTTATTGCAAAATGACAAATTAAAATGGTTCCCAGCTAAATGAGCGTAGATTCACAAACAGTGCCATCTAGAGTTCCTGTGGGACGACAGGATGACATAAACCAGCTCTGGCTGTCTCCACTCGTAGCCTCCTGATGCCTCCTCTCTGATCACGGCCTGAACCTGAGCAGGAAACCTCCTCAGCAGGCTGAGTCAAATTAGGATGACTCTTTTTTTTTTTTTCCTTGTGTGCCATAAAACTCTGCAACCATCCACGAGCCTATTTGCCAACAGCAGTCGTCCGGTTTCTCGAGCATACACACATATCTTCTCGTGCCATATGGGGGTTGAATATGCAACTAAGAAAACGAGGACCTACAAGCATATCATGCATTTATTCAACCGCCATTTTCCATGATTCATGACCCTCTCCTCAGGCGTGGGTGTTGTGTGTATCATAGTCATGTTAGAGCTGTCATAGGCCTCACGTCATTGTATTAATCATTGTTCTACTATCTGGGTTTGGGGGAAGGGAGGGGTTCATGACATGACATAGATACCGGGTTTATATTGCATTACGGTGTGA